GTTCGGGCAAAACCACTACTATTGGTAAGCTTGCTACTATCTATTCGCAGCAAGGGAAAAAAGTAGCTATTGCTGCTTGTGATACGTTTAGAGCTGCTGCTGTTAGTCAATTATCTAGCTGGGCACAGAAGAGTGGGGCTGTATTCATCACGGGTGAAGAATTAGCCGATCCTGCAAGTGTTGCTTACTTAGGCATGCAATCTGCGCTAAAGAATGATATAGATGTATTATTTATTGATACTGCCGGGAGATTACATAACCAAAAGAATCTTATGGATGAGCTTGGTAAAATTATACGAGTAATTAAGAAAGTTGATGAAACCGCTCCTCATCATAATATTTTAGTAATTGATGCTACTACCGGTCAAAATGTATATAATCAAATAGAACAATTTAAAGCTATTGCTAATATCACTGGCTTAATTGTTACTAAATTAGATGGGACTGCTAAAGCTGGAGTAGTAGTAGGAGCGGTACAGAAGTTTAGCCTACCAATATATTTTATAGGAATAGGAGAATCTATAGAGGATTTAAGACCGTTTGACCCGGCTTTATTTGCTAATGGCTTAGTAGGTAATAGTTAGGTCCGAGGGCTTATAAATGCTATATGAAAAATTCATAAATAATATTAGTAATTTAATAGGGTATAGTATTAACACACTATCTACTTTTTCTATACCCACTATTGCCTTAGCTGTTTCCGGGGGCTCTGATTCTATAGCTCTTTTGGTGCTTGCACACCAATGGGCAAAAAGCAGTAATATTAACCTAATCGTAATTTCTGTAGATCATCATTTACGCAATAATTCTAAACTAGAAAACGAATATGTACGTGATTTAAGCCATAAACTAGGATACCCCCACTATCAACTTCACTTTGATCCTAAAAATAATCTTTCTAATTTACAAGCAAGAGCAAGAGAAGCTCGTTATAAACTGATGACAGAGCTATGCATAAAATTAGATATATTGACTCTCTTTACCGCACATCATTTAGATGATTACATAGAAAATTATTGTATAAGGTCAGAAAAAAAAAGTAGCTTATTTGGCCTAAGTAGTCACTACATTATATGGTATAATAACATTAGAATAGTCCGGCCCTTATTTAATATTCCAAAGCAACAATTAACTAAACATTTAATTACTAACAATATTAAATGGTTTGAAGACGAAACTAATTTATCAGATAAATATCTACGAAATGTCATTAGGAAAAGGTTAAATATCGAAGGCGAGAATAAAAAAAATCAAGTAATTAAAGAACAACTAGTAATCAATCAACAAGTAGGAGAACAGTTACACCCAGAATTTATTGCTTGTACTGCAGAAGCAGTACAAATTTATGGATGGGGTTTTGCTCTAATAAATTTATTAAAATTTACAGAATTTTTTACTGAGGTTAAAAACCAAGTCATTAGCTTTACTCTTAACACTATTAGTGGTAAAAATTACCACAGTAGAACAGATTCCATTACCCGAATAAACGAATTATTACAGCAACCAGCTAATTTTACCAAAACGTTACACGGTTGTATAATTAGTAAAATTAAGGATCACCTTATAATATATCGAGAATTTGGAAGAGATAGGTCTACTTCTATAGCACTAATTAACAATTGTATTTGGGATAATAGATTTCTTTTTAACATTAATTGCGATACTGCAAAACTAGAAAATACCAAATATTTTATTGATAATCTAACAGTAAAAAATTATTCTGAAATAAGATATAATTTAGATCTAGCCTCTTTAAAAACTCTCAGTTTTAATAATCATATGGCAATTTTATTTACTCTGCCTACAATCAAAACACTTGAAAAAGTTATAGCAATCCCCCATCTATCACACTATAATGATGAAAGCTTAGAGGAGAAAATTTCGGTTTGTTTTTATCCTAGCTTTGTATCACGTTTTACACATTTCTATTAGGTTAGTATAGATGAACAATCAAGGTAAAAATATTCTAATTTGGGTATCGGTTTTTGTTTTAATGATACTTACTTTTCATGCTTTTCAAAATGATAGCCTCATGGGATCGAAAAGTCATATTGCCTTTTCAGATTTCTTAACAAAGATTGATGAAAAAGCTGTTAGTTCTGTGAAGATTCAAGGTCGAGCAATTAACGGTACGCTAAATGATGGTTCTACCTTTTCGACTTATGCTCCTGATTACGCAGATCTTATTAATAAGCTAAGTAACAATGGAGTTCATATTGAAGTAAGCCCGCCTGATACAAAAATGAATTCCTTATTTAGCATATTTGTGTCATGGTTCCCAATGATTTTACTGATTTGTGTATGGGTATTTTTTATGCGCCAAATGCAAGGTGGGGGTAAAGCCATGGGATTTGGTAAATCTAAAGCAAAATTAATTTCAGATAAAGGTCCTAAAGTTACTTTTAAAGATGTGGCAGGTATTAATGAAGCTAAAGAAGAATTAACTGAAATTGTTAATTTTTTGAGGGACCCAAGTAAATTCCAGAAACTTGGAGGGAAAATCCCGAAAGGATGCTTGCTTATTGGTCCTCCAGGTACTGGCAAGACTTTACTTGCCAAAGCTATAGCAGGCGAAGCTAATGTACCTTTTTTTAGTATTTCTGGTTCGGATTTTGTCGAAATGTTTGTAGGAGTAGGAGCAAGCCGTGTACGAGATATGTTTGAACAAGGTAAGCGTAATGCGCCATGTATAATTTTTATTGATGAAATAGATGCAGTAGGTCGTCATAGAGGTAGTGGAATGGGTGGAGGTAACGACGAGAGAGAACAAACTTTAAACCAGATGTTGGTTGAAATGGATGGATTTGAAGATAATGAAGGGGTAATAATTATTGCTGCAACTAATAGACCCGATGTATTAGATACGGCCTTGTTAAGACCAGGGAGATTTGATCGGCAAATTACGGTGCCGAACCCCGATATAGACGGGAGAGCACAAAGCTTACAACTACGTTCGAAAACAACAAAGTATGCGC